TCTTGTTCACGAATGAGGGAAAAATGGAGCGTGAGATCGATAGGCGGATAGGTGCAGCGTCTGCAGTGAAGTGGGCGCTGTACAGGTCTGTCGTGGTGAAGAGAGAGCTGAGTCAAAAGGCGAAGCTCTCAATTTACCAATCGATCTACGTTCCCACCCTCATCTATGGTCACGAGCTTTGGGTTGTGACCGAAAGAATGAGATCTCGGATACAAGCGGCCGAAATGAGTTTTCTCCGCAGGGTGTCTGGGCTCTCCCTTAGAGACAGGGTGAGAAGCTCGATCATCCGGGAGGGACTCGGAGTAGAGCCGCTGCTTCTCTACGTCGAGAGGAGCCAGTTGAGGTGGCTTGGGCATCTGTTTAGGATGCCTTCTGGACGCCTCCTTGGTGAGGTGTTCCGGACACGTCCCACCGGAAGGAGGCCCAGAGGAAGACCCAGGACACGCTGGAGGGACTATGTTTCTCGGCTGGCCTGGGAACGCCTCGGGATTCCCCCGGAAGAGCTGGCCCAAGTGGCTGGGGAGAGGGAAGTCTGGGCCTCCCTACTTAGGCTGCTGCCCCTGTGACCCGACCACGGATAAGCGGAAGAAAATGGATGGATGGATGGATGGATGGAATGGCCCAAAATCTCTGCTGCAGTGTGTGCAAACCTGCTGAAACACTACAGGAAACCTTTGACCTCTGTAACTGCAAACAAAGATACTGTACCAAATATTAACATTAATTTTCACAGGTGTTCAAATACTTATTTTCAGCAGTAACACACAAATAAGTTAAAAAAAAGTTAAAAAATCATACATTGTGATTTCCGGATTTTTTTTTTTTTTTAGATTATGCCTCTCACAGTGGACATGCACCCGAGATGAAAGATTCAGACCCCTCCATGATTTCAAAGTGGGAGAACGTGCAAAGTCGCAGGGTGTTCAAATACTTATTTTCCTCACTGTATACATATACATATACATATATATATATACATATATATATATATATATATATATATATATATATTACTTACATATTGAACGTAGTCCTTCCACTGCTGCCACCACAACATGGAGATGAGGAACCAGTTCTGGCCTTGCTGCAGTCCATGTCGACTCTCCCTCTCTAACCAACCTCTGTACATACAAACACAAAGACATAAAACCAATGAGAAACATTAGATTCTAAACACAGCTCATGTAAAATGTAAAAAATAAAGATAAAGAAGAGAGTTACCTAATAATGTGTCCCTCCTCTATAGGAGTAGCAGGTCTAAGCCCCAGGACTATATGACAAACCTGGGGTAAGTCCAGCACAAGAAACACATTAGAAGAAACTATAAATAAATACTGTTAATATCTATCTATAAAGCACAATAACGTATCCAGCGTACAGATAAACTAACCTGGAAAAGCAGATTTAAGAACTCGTTTGCCAAAGCACTCTTCACACTCCAGATCTGGTAGTCCTCAAGAGTCAGATGACCCAGCTAATAAAGAGACAGAAATCCAACAAAGGTCAGTCAGGTAGACTGGACGGTTTCTTTTTTTTCGTTGAGACGTTTTGTCTTTCATCCAAAGGACTTCATCAGACCTTTTAATCAAAAATGAGACAAAAACTTATCATAATGAGATGCATTCCTTTATTCTCAAAAAATATATATATATATTTCTTTCTTTAAAAGATTTGAGAGAATATTGGCAACTTTTTGGTATATGAACACTAAAAGGTTGCTAGGGTTCAACCTTCAATCATTTTATCCTGATAAATGCTCAATTATCCAGATAGAAAAATATAATAAAGTTAAGTCAGTTCCTCCGGACAGATTAAAAAAAATAAAAAATAAAAATAAATTGCTGAAATGTTTTGTCTTTAATCCTAAAGACTTCTTCAGTCTGAGAAGCTGCAACAAACTCAGTCTTATAAATATCCCCTTCTCATAGGGGATCAACCGGTTTGATGATGACATCCAGAACTAGCTGTTCACATGGGAGTAAAATTAATGAAAAAAATACCATAAACTAATGATACTATTGAAGAATTAATAAAAAGCATTTAAAACAGGATCACAGAACAACAAATACAAGAAAAAAACCACTAAATCAAGTCACACTGTGTGAAATACCTGCAAGAACAGATGTGTTTTTAGCAGCCAACTATTCTGGGAAGGCTGTTCACAAGGTTTAGGAGTGTGTTTATGGGGATTTTTGACCAATCTTCCAGAAGTTCATTTGTGAGGTCACATACTGATGTTGGACGAAAAGGCCTGGCTCTTAGTCTCCGCTCTAAGTCATCTCAAAGGTGTTCTATCGGGTTGAGGTCAGGACTCTGTGCAGGCCAGTCAAGTTCATCCACACCAGACTCTGCCATCCATGTTTTTATGGAACTTGCTTTATGCACTGGTGCACAGTCATGTTGGAAGAGGAAGGGACCAGCTCCAAACTGTTCCCACAAAGTTAGGAGCATGGAATTGTCCAAAATGTCTTGGTATGCTGAAGCAGTCAGAGTTCCTTTTACTGGAACTAAGGGGCCAAGCCCAACTCCTGAAAAACAACCCCACACCGTAATCCCCCATCCACCAAACTTTATACTTGGCACAATGCAGTCAGACAAGTACCGTTCTCCAGGCAACCGCCAAACCCAGACTCATCCATCAGATTGCCAGATGGAGAAGCGCGATTCATCACTCCACAGAACGCACCACCACTTTCTATATGAAAGTTACATTTTTATCATTACATTAATGGAAAATAATGACCTTTATCACAACATGCTAATTTTTTGAGAAGGACCTGTATTTATTTATATATATATATATATATATATATAT